GTGACGTGAATAGAAATTGGGATAATTAATTTACTTTCCAAATACAAAGCTCATCTAACTGGATATTTCATAAAAAAAATACTTTCCAAAAAACCTGATTCTTTTATCCACTCTTTAATTATGTTTTAAGAATCATACAGATTCAATTTAGATTAGCTTAGTTTTTATACAACTTACCGAGAGCCATCCACCATTCACATTTTCAAGCGCGTTTACAGGTTTGCGAAGGCGAGTAGTTCCTCCGTAAAACATAACAACATAACTCACTAGCCCGTGCTGCACGGTCGGCTGGCGACTGACTGCTTTCTGTTTGAAAGCTCACAAGCCTTAGAAGCGACCTCTGCCACCGCCACGTGCTCCGACGGATGCCGTCGACGCGATAGCAACGCTGCACTCGGTGATCCTACAAATCCCGTTTTTCTACGCAAGCTCGGACTTTTCGAATTGCAAATAGATATCGCGCTTACGGATACTAACTATAAACAAGAGAAGCTACATCCTTGATTCGTTTATGACAACTTTTATGACTTCGAGTAAATTTCATAAACGATTCGCAAGAGCAGTACAATAGTTATTATCTCCATGAAAAAATGGATCGGTTATACATGAATGGACGACAGAAATAAGTGTTAACATCCATTTCTTGGAAGAAATACTAAATCATAGGCAAAGACAATATCCTCAACAATTTTCAGTTGTATACTGAATTTAATATACACATAAAAACTAGAATTATAAAAATTTATAATAAATCTGTAGTTCGTCACATTTCCTTTTTCGTTTTACTAGAACTGACAGATTACGATGCTATAATTATTGATGTAATGAAATCGTATTGATCGATAATGATAGAGATATTAGAAATTACAATATGATTAATTATTTTGTCGTCAGCTGTTACGTTATTTCAGCCAAATGTGGACTAAATTACCATAGTTAAATAGGAGCGAATAAATCATGTCGACATGTGCATGAATTCTAAATGCTTTGAGGACAACAAAAATGAATTCAAATCCTTTTATCGCCGACGCAAGATGCATGTCACACCTGGCAATTTAATCGCATTGAATCTCTCGCAAATCTCCGCTGATACCTTTCATATTTCCCGCTGATGATTCGCGTGAGCAATCAGGCATACGAATTGACGATGATTTATCGATACCATTGAGCCAGGTTACCATTCATTAGGATTCGCGGCCGGCGCGGTGTACGTCGCCGTTGCGTTGCGGTGATTCCTGCGCGAGCCCGGAATAGTCTTTATTGTCGTGGTACACGACGGACGTTCTCGTCGCGCGAAAAACAAAAGCGCCGAATGACTTGTGCGGGCCACACGCCCTCGTAAATCTTCAGCTCGTGACACCGACTGCGACCTTCCAATTACATTCGATGGATTAATCTCACCATCCGATCGTTTCTCGACGTTTTCGGGACGACGACCCGCCGGATGAGAGAACGTGCGAAACCGTTTTGTTCCTGTTCTTATGCCGCTGCTGCTACGTGCCTCCGCTATTTCTAATCAATCCCGCGGCATTACTCGAATTCCCTTGTCGAGCTTGTCCGTTTATTTAAAAACTCGTTTATAGCCTCAATGCGCCACGATCGACGGGCGAATTTTCATAAAAGAGAAAAATATAAAACCTGGATAAAATAATCTATTCTCCACACCTTTTTTGCATTTGTTTTGAGATCGAATTTTTATTTATAACAAGTCTGACAATGAATTGTTTTATCGTGCGGCTACGGGATGAATTTCGCTACGACAGTGTTCATCGATACCCGAAAGGAATATTGAAAGCATAAAAAATTTGGGAGAATTTCAGTTCCAACAACATATGATAGTTTTTCGCATATGCAACGGAATATAAATATTTATAACCGAATGCCTGTAGAAACACTTTAATTCTTGCCTACGCTAACCATATTTTATTTATTGAAATAATATTTGAGATTCCTGTTTGCACAATTTCCGAGTTTTATTTTAGTACAATTTGTTATTATTATAATATGCATTAGGTACAAATTTCTGCTTTGCATATGTATTGACCATTAAAGGATGATAATACATTGTGATTGGATTGAATATTAATGAGACCCCTTAACCGAAGCGTTGGTCAGTTATGTGGAACGTTTCCCATTACAATACTAATTTCTAGCTTTGAAACAAAACGTTGGTAAGGATCTTATGTTGTCTAGTTTGTCGTAATTAAATCTCGTTCAATGTATTTTGGTTTTTGCTCAAAACCCTAGATCCTATCTGAACTGTTTCTATATCATCCTTCAACTTTCAAGCTTCAATTTTGGTATCTTAATGGAATAAATATACTACATCACTTGAGAACTCAATGTTAGAACCAAAATTTAATCTTCAGATTATCTAAAATATTGTATCGTAAAGTAAATATTTTGATGGCAAAAGGAGGCTATCGAAGGTAATGCGTGTTTCAAAAATCTGAAAAGGAGCTTCCCTGAAAAGCTCTTTACCTCTTTCTAAAATTCTTGAGTCTGCTTTAATCCGAGCTGATAAGAACTCATTCAGCCTCATCGATCTGAAAAATTCTGAACAATTAATTTCCTTCAACAATTTTCATCATGTGTACAAGTATTGCTTCTAGTAATAACTGAAAATCTCCGTTTTTAAAATTATATTAATATCTTATAATAAAATTTTTTAATTCACATTTGGATTGCCAAAAAATTTTAAGAATGTTAATTAGAGACTTTGATGTAGTCCTTAAATCTCATTTTTGTTTTTGGGTATGATTGCATTATAGCATATCATGCATTGTGCATATTGAAACTGGAAACTGCGTTCTCCAGTTCTCACGTAGTGAAACTTTCCCGCTGGTATGAAATCCAAGATGAAACTCATCAATAGGATCTCGTTGATCGGTTTACCGTGGTTTCCGTATCGAGGATACGATATATTGATCTTCCAATAGTTCTTCGGCTTTCCGGTCGTCTTCCCCATTGTTGCGTTGATCACGAGTGATCAAGATGCACATTCAACGCAAACTTTCACCAGGAGAATTTCCTTCATAACTTGCCTAGCACGTAGAGTGTAAAATACCCCTTACGTGATGCTAACAATTTATTCCACGTAATCATTATAACTTCGTATGAAATTCCAAATCACTGAATTAATTGACATCAATCTTCTAAATTATTTCATTATAACTTGTAATTTATGTTGTATATATTTCATTACAATTAATATAATATTTTAAGAAGAACACGAAAATCTATTTAATAACGTATAATACAAAACAACTTTTCTCCCAGTTAGTAAATTGCTCAATTGCGTTTTTATACAAAAACTAGCATACGATGCATTTCTTCCTTAAGATGTTTTTTAAGGACTCTATAAATTCTATGAAATTTCATTACATAACAGTAAATTAAAGCAGACCAAATAAATAAGACTAATTGGGACAAATTATTTTTTCAGTATCTCTTCTTTCCTCTAAACAAAAGCTTTCTCTTTATACAATAGTAAGATAATGCACGTGTGCACGTGTTGATAGCGAAACGAATAAAAATTTCGTTATTACTTACTGGTGTTATTTCTTCGTTCTATTGTTCCGCATAAAAAGTATAGATTATTTTGACGCGAACCATGATTAACGATTATCCCCGTCTTAGGCTGTACAGAAATTTCGCACATTCATGGGGTCAAAGCCTACCCGCGGATTATCGACAGCGATTTTCCTCGACCACTTTTCTCGATACCCAACGGTTTGACTATAGCCTATGGTGATGCATTTCGAATAGGGCATAAAAAGCACTTTTAAATTGAAGCTTTATAGCGGCGACGTTTATCGTAGGGATAAGCGTAAATCAAGATGCATGTAATGCCACCGCCTCTTGAATTGTTTCATTCTGTGCATGCGTTGCGAAAGAGAGATGAGCTGAAGGTTTTTTTTTCCGATCAAGAATTCAAAAGCTTTTTACTACGAGCACTGAATTTTCTCTGAAATTCTATACCCTGCACAGCGATCGGTTAAAAATACTGGAATTGTTGAAAACCTTTATAATTCCACTTTTCCCATGCTGTCTGTTTTTAATAAAATTTGGTTTAACCGAGATGAAACGCGATTAACAAATGAAGATTTATTAAACGTTTCTGTCTGCTGAATATTCCTTTTGTCAAACACCGCAGTAGTGCATACAATTCACTTGCAGTTCATATCGCTATTAATATAAATATATCTTTATGTGGTAATTCACTGGAAAGAACGTCACGATAACTGTCCTCATATTTAAAAATATATTCGTAAATCTCGGTGAAACGATTGTTGCTCCGGCAGCTGCGGGAGCTGCGAGTTAATTGCGTGAAATATGTCGACCGCACCGTTTATCGAAGATGCGAAATTAAAGCAGTAGCGGCACGGCGACGTGGCCCGAAACTAATAACTCATGCTTGACCCTACTTGGCTTTCATTTGTCAGCCGTGCTTAACGTGTCGCCCGTAGCATTTTCATTGCCACGAGTGTTACGAAAAACTCGTGTGACGTAAAATAACATGGAGAGAAAAATTCACATCCATTCGTGTAAGATTAAAAAAATACTTCAAAAATTCATCCATCGATATCAAATTGATTCTATAATCTCCACAATAGTAAAAAATAAATCTGTTGCCATTGAATTACGTGAAATAACTTGAATCTGTGGTTCGACCGAGAAATGTTTTTAAAGGAAAATGTTAAAGAAACAGTAATCCTATATCTCTCAGGTATGCACTAAAAAAATTATGCGAAGTATATTTTTTTCGAGTAGTGGATTTCCGTGCTTTATGGACTATATCTTTTGCTAGTTCCCAGTGACGACGGTGAAGGAATGGTTTGTATTGATATCGTGTTTCGGTATATCGTGAGAACTTCTTAGAAGTACATACTAAGGAATTCGTTGTATTCCTCACGTGCATCTCCAACGAGATATTTGGTCGTGAAATTGCATAAGTTCCAGGAAGCAAGAATTCGCCGAGAGCAACCCCTAGTCACCGAACGTGCTTGAACTTTTAAAGTTTTAAAGAGCCCACGACTGCGAGAGGCTGTCCTTCCTTCGTTTCCTGTTCGAAGTCACACGACAATTCTCCACGAATGAAGCCATCGCATCGGTACCATAAGGCCTTACTTTCCTGATAATGCTCTTCTGCAAAGAGAGTACTATTAATAAGATCTCTTCGGGCACAGTACGTGTGTTCAGATGAACTCGTACTATTCTATCATTCTTCTTCCTCGACAAAGCTGTCGTACAAATTTATACTTGACTCGTGTATTTAATGTTTAATGTGCACAACTGTGCTGGTTACTGAAAATAT